CTGATGTCTAGCAATGTCTCTTGAACTTTCTTCTGTCTCAGGAAACCTATGTTGTGAGTGAGTGACTGTGTGAACAAACTGCAAGGCATTGCATTTTGGAGTCTGGCTATGGGTTGCTATAAACTATATTCAACTATTTTAATGGCATCTATTGAATGGTAATATTGAATTAGCTTTAAGATATAAAATGGACAGAATGTTTTAAGTGAGTGAAAGTACAACTTCTGATCCACCAAACATGAATGCAACTCATCAGCCAAATGTTCTTGACCTACCAGATGCTTGACAGTTTTTGCAGACATAAACAGGAGGTTTATAGAAGCCCAACTGGGCCCACCATGCATGGCTGGATGGCTTTATTTTGCATTTTGGACCTCAGTCTGTGCAGACATGTTTAAAATAAACTAACAAAGATACAGTTCACAGCCCAAGTGAAAGTACTGTTGATTTAAAGGCAGAATTGGGTGCATGCTTTTAACTCTATACAATTGAATTCATTTTTGCTGAATTTTGGCCCTAAATAAATTTTTAAGTAGAGAGGATTGCCAACATCCAGGTTGGTACAACTAGAATATAGAGATCAGTTCTCCTGGAAGAAATAGTTGTCCTGGAGGGTGTACTCAATGGCATCACATCTCCACTGAATTCCCTCTCCTCCCCAGACTCTACCCTCAGGTCTCCAGGAACTTCCCAACCCCAAGTTGGCAACCCTACAAGTAGAAATGCTTTGAGCAGTAAAGACTATGGTCAAGCTTTGGTGACTATGGTATGCATTCAATACATGACAGCACATCTATTTTGTATTTTCATTACAAAACTGTGTGGGGAATTAAGTTGGAAGTATTTCCTAAGGGCTATAATACTGCATTTAAAAGAAGCTCCTATTTATCTGTTTCTAAGCAGCTCAATTTTAAAGGGAACAGAACTGCCAAAGGGCTTTTATTTTATTTTAATTGATTCAGATCAAACACTGTCTAAAAGATTCTCACATGCAAGATGCTGGAAATTCCCATCATAAATTACACTATTCAAATATTGCTGCAAACCCTTCAAGACAGTTTCACATTATCACGGGATGCCAAAAATGCCATTTCATTTTGTTTTATCACAAACATGAAGGAAGCCAGACAAGTTTTAAAAAGTAAATATTAAAAAGAACCCTCTGCACATTAATTTTTTCAAAAAGTATAAATGAAACCCACTAGTAGTCCTCTCTATTGTGACTATATGAGAATGTCTCTGTACAAATAATAAACTTTCTTTGGTTTATTACAATATTTGTTTACTTTCAACTTTTATTTTATTCTACCTCTTGGATGGCAAAAATTTAGATGCATGTGCTATGGTAACATAGGATACAGCAGGCTGCAACTTTTGAAAGCAAAGACATTTGTAATTTCAACTTCCATAAATATGCCAAAGTGTATAATTTTATATGCTGTTTATTTAATTTTAAACACTTTTATGCAGTGTTTCCACCCAATCACAGTCCCCAAGGCAGTGAACATTAAAACATTAAAACATTTGAACCATTAAAAACAGGATTTAAAATCATGAAATAATTCAGTAAAAACACAGAAACGTACACCACCAGAACCAGGGAGGGGGCCAATAATCAAATGAAACTAAAAGTTTTCACCCTCTGGCAGAAGACACCAATAGAGGGAGTCAGATGAATCTTTCTGGGGATGGAGTTCCAAAGCTTTGGCTCCAGAGCCAAGAAAGTCCTTTCTCAGTTCACCACCTCTCTAGTCTCAGATGGCAGGGCAACCAAAGCAGGACCTCTGAAGATACTCAGAGTGAATGGGTAGGTTCATATGGGACAAGGTGGTCCTTAAGGTACGTTGGTCTCAAGCTATACAGGGCTTTAAAAGGTTAAAACTGCACTTCAAATTGAGCCTGGAAGCAAACTGGAAGCCCATGGAAGAAGACTGCAGTGATGTGATCCCTACAACAGGCAACACTAGGGGTGTGCAAAAAAAAAAAAAAAGCCAGTATTTTTTGGCTTTGGGTAAATCAGACCCGAAAAATATCGGTAAATGCCAACTTTCCCCAGTCCAGTATTGGTGAAGTATTGGGACTGGGGAAATATTTGGTATTGCCGAATATATTCGGGTCTAATATACCCCACCAGAGGGAAAGGAAGAATGTTAAAATGCCTTCTTTTCCTCTGGTAGCCCCTGCAGATTTCCTTGTCAATTTTACTCCCTGCCAGTCAGCTGTTAGTGAAATTGACAAGGGAAAGCCTCCTCTCTCTGCCTCCCCTACGCTAGCTGACATGGGGTAGCTGGAGAAGGGCAGGCAGGGAGCCCAAGCATGTTTCCTTGCCTGCCCTTTGTTTCTACAGCCAGCCCGCTGTGGCGGGTTGGCTGGGGAAGCAGCAGGCATAAAAATATGCCTCCTTCCCTTCCTGAGTAGGGCAGGCAGGGAGCCCAAGCATGTTTCCCTGCCTGCCCTTTGTTTCTACAGTCAGCCCACTGTGGCAGGTTGGCTGGGGAAGCGGCAGGCATGAAAATATGCCTCCTTCCCTTCCTGAGGCTCTCCACTGCTGCGAAGAAACTCAGAGAGGGGAGGGAAAGTCAGAGGAGGTGTGTTTAAACCTGCCCCCCACTTTCCCTCCCCTCCTGGAGTTTCTCCACCGCAGCAGAGAGGCTCAGGGAGGGAAGGAGGCATGTTTCCATGCCTGCCCTTCCCTTCCCCAGCCAACCCGCCACGGCTCCATGCTGGTGGAACGACCTTCTGGAAGAAATCAGGGCCCTGCAGGACCTTCTACAATTTGGCAGGGCCTGCGAGACGGAGCTCTTCCACCAGGCCTTTAATTAGGAACCACATCTACCAACTGAACTGTGACAAGGCCTTCCCTCTGCATTCACCATCAGCAGCCTGTACTAACTGGTATAAATGGATATGATAAGCTGAACTCCAACTCTGACTATACTCCTCTGTGACCATTCCATCATGGTCTACTATGACTGCTATGCAATACTACAACTGCCATCAATATTGTCACCAGCACTTTATGATTGTTTATAACTGTTCAGGATTAATTACGGTATCTTATAATTGTATTGTTTTATGTGCTTTTAACTCTTTTATGTAAGCTGCCCTGAGAGCCTGCTCTAGTGGGGAGGGAGGGATAAAAATCAAATAAACAAACAAACAGAAATAAAAACTATAGTATTTTGTGGATAATACCTGAAAAATTATAATGAAGGGGATGAAAAGGAATATATTCTCTATCCTTTACATGTTGTACTACATGACTGTCTTCAAAACATGCAATTATGTTGTATAACCACCCTATTTTCCCTTTTCTTTTCTGTACTAGTGTTTTCCTAAATGAAAAAAAAAAAAGAATTTCTGATACTGAGCTTTCCTTGGTTGGAAAACTCAAATGAGGAGTTAAGCCCACATTTAGAGACAGATCAGGAATCCTGAACTCCACTGGGTAAAAGAGGAAATAATTTCTTAGACATTTAATTCTATGTATGTACCAGTGTTGTTTCCAAGCAATACACTACTGTATTTCTTAAAAATATGCAAATCAGTAACTAGCATCACATCAGCTTTCATGCTGAGGAGGTTTTCATCACTAGTCTAACTAGAGTGAATCCCTGTTAGAGTCTAAGAAACACATAAAACTAGAAGAAATTAGCAGTTGTGCTCACCACACCTTGAACAGCCAATGCAGCTAGCCGTATGCCTTGCTCCACTGAAAATCGCAATTGCCCATCAATAACATCTTTTTTTACTTGTAGGTAATACTGATACCTGCAAACAAGAGATAGAGCAAAATGAAACCACTGTCACCTTTATTTATGCTCATTATTTGCTTTCCTTAAGCAGACTGGAGGTGGTGCATAACGTATTTAAAACCAGCAAACAATAACAAAACTAAAATATTTGACACCAACAATAATAAAGATAATTAAAACTAATGACAACCAGGGTTCCTTCTAAGCTGAGTTAGTGTAAGCCAGCTCACAGTTTTTTAGCCTCCGGCTCACACATTTTTGTCTTAGCTCAGGAAGGCTGGCTCCACAGCAAGCTAATCTATGCAGCAGCCAAATCACTTGCTCACAACTTTGATGCCGGTAGCTCACAAAGTAGAATTTTTGCTCACAGGACTCCACAGCTTAGGGGGAACATTGATGACAACAACAAAAATCTATACAAACAGGTTAAAAGAGTGAACCAATTTACAGAAGAGCCCTCCTAAAAAGTTTTGCCTTGCATAGTTTTTGTAAACATGGTATAGTCACCTAAGTTTTTCTGGTAAGTTGTTCCACTGTGTAGAAGGTACAACTGAAAGAACTGATCATGAGCTGTAGCAGATTGTGCCTTCTGCAGAAAGGGATATTCAAGAGATAGTGTTGCCAGCTTCCAGGTGGGGCCTGGAGATCTGCTTTTACAACTGATCTCCAGCTGACAGAGATCAGCTCCCCTGGAGAAAACAGCTGCTTTGAATGGTGGACTCTATGGCACTGCACCATGCTGAGGTCCCTCCCACCCCAACCCCACCCTCTCCTGGATCCATCCCCCAAAGTCTCCAGGTATTTTCCAACCCAGATCTGGCAACCCTATCAAGAGACCCTGCTCAGATGAACTGAGCTGACACGGGCACAACAAAATTGGAGAAGCAGTCCTGCAGAGATGTGGGTTTCAGGCCATGAAGGGCTGTATAGGTAATACCAGCACCCTGAACTGAACCCCAAAACTAGTAGTCAATAAAATAATTGTAAATTCGGTGTAATATGACTATTCTGCCTTGCTAATAACAATAACCCAGCTGCAACATTTTGCACAGGCTGAAGGTTCCAAATTATCTTCAAGGGCAGTCTCAGGTATAATGTTACAATTGTCTAATCTCAAGGTTACTCTGGTACAGATTGATGCAGCAAGATCAGTTAGGTCAAGGTAAGCAACTAACTTTCCCCTACATCTGAACTCACCACTTTCTCTAGCAACAATATTAAATCAAGTAAGCCCCCCCCCCGCCAGATTCAGAAAGGAGACCACAGAGACCACAATATGCTCTAAGACCACAGCCTTACCAACCAGGATTCGCTTTGCCAGAATTCAATTTCAACATTTATCTTTAGCTACTTAACAATAGCACCCAAGCACTGGCTCAGGATCGTCATGGCAGGATCAGGTGGCTTAGATGAAGAAAGATACAGGAGGGTGTCAAAGCACATTCCTAAATCCAGTGTTAATCTACACACATAAATAGACAATTTTTACAAAGCAGTGTCTGCACCAGCTCTGTTTATACAGCCAGGTTTCCAAGTTGAAAGCAGGAAAATAGAAGAGGGGATTAAGGAAATCTTCTCATATGCTTTGTATACTTCTGGTAAGACCACACTGAGCAAAGCTAGCACACCCAAGGCAATCACATCATTCACCATTATGCCATTTCACAATAGGGACATGTGCTGTTTTGTTTTGTTTTTTAACTGAGACTGTATAGTCTAGAAGAGTAAAAGAGAGATTCAACGACCTGCCACTAGACAGCACCAAAGTTCTGGCCAAGCCTTGTTTTTCTAGCTTGAAACACAATAGTGACACTATTATTAAGACGCCACTTCAAATTGTTGCTGTGTACTTAAAAAGACAGTGGCTGTGTGCTTTAAAATTCTGAAGTGTTTGGGTAGTTCTGAAGGCCTGTAGGGTTTTTTGAATAACTGTGTGTGAAGAAAAAATATTGAAAAGAGAATCAGCCAAGAGTCTGTGATCCTAAGACTGCCTTATTGGTATTCCAGAGTTGTTTCGGTGAATCCACGTAGGTCACATCTGCACTGAGAGTTTTATAAAGGTCAGTATGGATATCAAATGTACATTTTACTACCGTGATGAATGCATGTCAGTACTCCACTTATTTACCTAGCAAACTAAATTTCAAATCAGGAGATTCCTATACAACTGTACCCTTAAATACTCACCGTGCAATAGTCTCATAAAATTTGTAATGATCCTCAATTATTAACAGAGCACATTGTCTCTAGGACTGGAGTCATCGCTCTCATACATGTATGTAAAGTGGGGTGCCCCACTTCCATCTAACTACTCCAAACAACAGTACATTCCTGGGGTTGCCAGCTCCGGGTTGGGAAATACCTGGAGATTTGGGGGGTGGAGCCTTCAGTGGGGTATAATACCACAGGGTCCACCTTCCAACGTGGCCATTTTCTCCAAGTGAACTGTTCTCTGTCACCTGGAGGGCAGTTATAATTCCAGGAGATCTTCAGCCACCAACTAGGGGCTGGCAACCCTGGTACACTGCAGATATACACTGAGAGAGAAAAAAGATGGTTTAAAGCATCTGTGTCAAT